CCCCAAAACCCCAAAACCCCAAAACCCCTCAGCATAAAATATCACTTGACACGTGATAAATATGAAACAAGAGTAGTATGTTGGCCAATAAGAATAAAACAGAAAATTTGGAACCAATTTATTCTCCACCAATTATTTTAACGTTTCCAAGTTGATTTTCTGTAAAGATTTCTTCAGCGTCATTTTGGTATATTCCACAGTAGTGAATATCTACCATTCTAAGACTCAATCTTAAATCTGGAGAACTTGCTAACCCTTTTATCAAGTTCTTGAACTGATCACGGTTGTTCCTTCAGTTACTTCAATCAGACCATCCTGAGTATCTTAAAATAAGGGTTTTTATCTGACAATTTGTAAGAGCCTTTGAAAAATCAGGAACACTTGGAATAGACAACTTTAAATTTGATAATGTCAAGACTCTCACATGTCTGTAAGCGGCTATCAACCTCTTTAGTCAACGAAAGCTAAGCTTGACACGGTTAAATTCTACTCTGCGAACAACTTTAGAGTTGTGACTCACCAGCAAGTTGAAGTAATTAGACCTATCTAGCTTGGTTCAATGGGAGGTCCAAGCACCAAGATAATTAGTTTTATTTGGGAATCAGGATGTTAAGAAATCAGTCAAATGCTTATTTTTGCTTGTGTCCACAAATAAATAGATTGCATTTATATCATAAAACTTTTGAGAGTTGAGGCTTCATGCAAGTTTCTCATCATTAACATTCTTAAAATTTAAATGAAGTTGATCATCCGGAAAATCTCCTCTAGAGTCTATATTTAAGAAAGTGACTTGTATACCTGAAAAGGAAAACTTTTCAAGGGCGTTTATCCGCATCCTACAATCTTGGCTTTTAACCTTCTTCAAGAGAGACTTTTCCATGCTAAAATTAGAAGTCAGCAAGGAGCTTCAAAGCACGTCAGAATCCGTCAGGAAAGCTGAACTTTTACCACTAAAATTAGTAATCATTCGACAATTGGCAAACGTGAGGATTGCGAAGTATCCTAATCTTCTCAAATATCTCACCGACTAAAGGGACGCTAAGCTGCCAAACTCTGATAAGTCTGGCAATGATCTCTTGGTAAAGGCATTAGCAATACAATTGTTTTCGAAACTAATGATTTAGGGTGTAGCATTAAGCATCTAGAAGCCATCGCAACGAAAGAAGATGAACATTTAGAGCTGACTAGGGCTAAACTTTCGGTTACCTGATGATCTGGGCTTTATTCTCTCCGATTGATGTATCCATACTTTCCATTTTATTATTATATAAAGTTAGAGTTTATATTTCAATCTTTTGTCAGAGGTGTGGGGTTTTGGGGTTTTGGGGTTTTGGGGTTTTGGGG